GCCACCATTGGGCATCAATGTTATTTTGAAAAAATTTTTTAGAGTAAGGGCTACATAATGCCCTTTATGTCCTAATATTATTTTGGCGCAAGGAACACACCATATTCCTTTGGATGCAGCTACACTGTAGAATGAATGCAGTTTGGCACCACTTTCACCTCCACGGCTCAATGCTATGGAATCCAGGGAGTTCTAGTTTTGCAAAGACTCTAGCCTTTTATGGCTGAGAGTGTAGGGGCCTTAGTAAACTACAGATCCAAGGATCCCATAGCATTGAGCCATTGTGGTTAAAGAGTGCATCTATTGATGCATTTGTTACTACCTTAACTACTATAGCTCGATGCAATGGAATCCTGGAATTTGTAGTTTTACAAGATTTCTAGCTGGGGCATCGCCAAACTACAACTCCCAGGATTCCATAGCATTAAGCCTTGGCAGTTAAAATGGTGTCATACTGCATTCATTCTACAGTGTAGAGCAGGCATGGTCAAAATTTGGTTCTCCAGGTGTTTTGAACTTCAACTCCCACAATTCCTAACAGCCTCCGACTTAAGCGGCTGGGGGGGGGGGGAAGGAAAGGGCCTGAGGCTGTTAGGAATTATGGGAGTTGAAGTCCAAAACACTTGGAGGCACAAAATTTGACCATGCCTGGTGTAGAGGGACCCTTCATTGCTTTTGCTCATCTCTGGGTGCATTTACACTGCAGAATTAATGCAGAGTTGTAGTTCTCTTTGGCAGAGAAGGCGATAGACCTTGTAAAACCACAGCTCCCAGGATGCCATAGCCTTGAGCCAGGGCAATTAAAGTGGGGTCAAACTGCATTCATTCCTCAGCATAGATGCGTTATTGCCCCTTTTAGAGATGAAAATCTTGCATTTCTGCACAGTCTTTCCTTGTTATTGCAAAAACATATTGGACAATTATCCCCTATATTCCCTTTTTAAAAAGCCCCAGCCTTTTAGGCATTGCTGCAAGAAGGAGCAAGCTTTGTTCAGGAAAGATTGAATGGAAATCCCGCTGGCTGTTTTCAAAGTCCTGGCAAAGTTGCCAGGTACAGCTTTTGTTCGGAGAACTACAGGCGGTTGTGTTTCTATGGGAGCCAATTGGAAAAGCAATGGCTTAATGGATGAGGGCTATTCTGGAATGTTCAGGATCCTCAGTATGTTGGGTATACGTGATGATCCAAAATATTTGGGACCAGAAGCGTTCAATTTTTTTTTTCATTTTGCATTTTGGAATAGTTGCATTATTATTATTATTATTATTATTATTATTATTATACATGTTTCTTTGTTACCCCTCTCCTTTCAGCTCAAGGTGGGGCACAACACAGTAAAAATACATAATCATAAATCCCATCTGTGTTCATATTCGGCCATATTGAGTATCCGTTCCATGTTTGGTTCAGATCCATCATTGTTTGCGTCCACAGTGCTCTCTGGAAGTAGGTGAACTACAAATCCAAAAGTCAAAGTCAATGCCCACCAAACCCTTCTAGTGTTTTATGTTGGTCATGGGAGTTCTGTATGCCAAGTTTGGTTCAATTCCATCATTGGTGGAGTTCAGAATACCCTTTGATTGTCGGTTAACTATATATCGCAGCAACTACAACTCCCAATGAGAAAAACAAGTTTTTGAGTGATGGTCACTCCTTGGGTTAGTAGGTGTCTTGTGGCCAAATTTGGCGGCAATTGGTCCAGCGGTTTTTGAGTATTGATGTCATAGAATCATAGAATCATAGAATCAAAGAGTTAGAAGAGACCTCATGGGCCATCCAGTCCAACCCCCTACCAAGAAGCAGGAATATTGCATTCAAATCACCCCTGACAGATGGCCATCCAGCCTCTGTTTAAAAGCTTCCAAAGAAGGAGCCTCCACCACACTCCGGGGCAGAGAGTTCCACTGCTGAACGGCTCTCACAGTCAGGAAGTTCTTCCTCATGTTCAGATGGAATCTCCTTTCTTGTAGTTTGAAACCATTGTTTCGCATCCTAGTCTCCAGGGAAGGAGAAAACAAGCTTGCTCCCTCCTCCCTGTGGCTTCCTTTCACGTCACTCAAAACGAACAAAGCATTAGATTCTAAAACTCATGAATCATGTGTGAATCATATCTATCTATCTATCTATAGCTTGATGGCTCTTTGTCAGGAGGGCTTTGATGACGTTTTCTTGCCCTGGTGAAGGGAGTTGGACTGGATGGCCTTCAGTATTTTCTGTTGGTCATGGGGGTTCAGTGTGGGAAGTTTGCCCCAATTCTGTCGTTCATGGGGTTCAGAATACTCTTTGATTGTAGGTGAACTATAAATCCCAGTAACTACAACTCCCAAATGTCAAGGTCTATTTCCCCCAAACTCCATCTGTGTTCATATTTGGGCATATGGAATATTCTTGCCAAGTTTGGTCCAGATCCATCATTGTTTGAGTCCACAGTGCTCTCTGGATGTAGATGAACTACAACTCTAAAACTCAAGGTCAATGCCCACCTAACCCTTACAGTATTTTCTGTTGGTCATGGGAACCAAGTGTGCCCAGTTTGGTTCAATTCTATCGTTGGAGTTCAGAATTCTCTTTGATTGTAGGTGAACTATAGATCCCAGCAACTACAACTCCCAAATGACATAATCAATTTTTTTGAGTGATGGTCACTCCTTGGGTTAGTAGATGTCGTGTGGCCAAATTTGGCAACCAGTGGTTTTTGAGTTATGTTAATCCCACAAACACACATTACATTTTTATTTATATAGATGATATACAATAGATTCTCATATAACCCACGGCCTCCATGGTGATTATTTGGTAGATGCCAAACAAATGTCATTTCTGGTTGCTTGAGAGTTAACATTAGAAATAGGCTCCATACCATTCCATACCATAAACTCTGTAATAGCATAAACTCTTTACTTTTAGGGACTGTAATAATGAAATATAGTCCCTAAAAGCAAAGCAAGACCAATAAAGATAAATCTTAGTGTGTGAGAAAAACAGCTTTGTGAATGCAGTATGCCGTTTTAGTTAAGTGGCAACAAAAATTGATTTTATTTTAATATTTGCTTGTATTTAAAATATTATTTCTTTGAAAAATATTGTGAGTTTCTTGAGACTTCTGAGTAACTGAGAGTCTGCAATATCTTTGAAATGGGACCCAATTCTAATGCAGAATTCATGCTCTATATCAGTTTTTCTCAACCTGGGGGTCAGGACTCCTGGGGAGGTTGCGAGGAGGTGTCAGAAGGGTCACCAAAGACCATCAGAAAACACAGTCATGGGGGGGGGGTCATGAGGGGGGGTTCAGAAGGGTCACCAAAGACCATCAGAAGACCACCGCCTGTCCTTCTCTTCCTTTTTGGAAACAGACGGTGAATCGGTGAATCGTCCCACCAAAAGCCCTCCTCCGCTGTGATTGGCCAGCCTCTCAGCAAAGGGGAGGGTTGTTTCTGAGGCTCTAAATAGGGGAGGGGAGAGCACGTGTGTTTGATGCATGGCAGGATGGTGCACATGTGCGGGTGAGGGAGAGCATGTGAGGCTGGAAGGAGGCTTGTACCAGCGAGTCCCTTCAAGGCATGGGGGTTCTGAGTGGGAAGTTTGACCCGATTCTATCATTGATGGGATTCAGAGTGCTCTTTGGTGGTAGGTTAACTGTATATCCCAGTAAGTGCAACTCCCAAATGACAAAATCAATCCCCCCAACCCCAATCTGGGTGTATCAGGTATTTGTGCCAAATTTGGTCGAGTGAATGAAAATACGTCCTGCATATCAGATATTTACATTACAATTCATAAAAGTAGCAAAATTACAGTTGGCTGATCTGGCTGGCTAGACGGATGTCCCATTCCTCCCTCGCCTCTCCATGTGCGTTCCTCCTGAAACTGTGCGTTTGATGGAAAAGGACAACATCCCAGGTATAGGACTGTACGGAGGGCTCCAGTCTTCAGACTTGGATATATGATAGCTGCTCTCCCTTGCTAGAACCTCCAAACAAGCTCAAAATTACAGTTATGAAGTAGCAGCAAAAATAATGTTATGGTTGGGGGTCACCACAGCATGAGGAACTGTATTAAGGGGTCGCGGCATTAGGAAGGTTGAGAAGCACTGCTCTATATAGCTCTATATAGACACACAAAGGAAACTTTAAACGCAATATTTTGCACCTGAAACAGAGTTTGTTGCACACTGAATTATTAGAAAGCAATGGTATCACTGGGTGTATTGATACTGTTTGATACCATTTTAACTGCAATGGGATCGTGAGAGTTATAGTTTTATACAGTCTTCTCTGCCAAGTAGTTCTGGTGGCTCACCACACTACAAATCCCAGGATTCCACTTAAAGGGGTGTCAAACTGCATTAATTCTGCAGTGTAGAGGCACTCATACAACTATAATAAATGTGCAAATGTTATACAATTTGTGATCATAATTCACAAATTTGCAAGATCATAATTCATAATTTGCAATTTGCAAGATTTACTCTGGAATATTCATTGTTGGCTCTCCATCCCAAATGCTAGCGTTAAAGATGAAAAGCATCAAGTTCAGCTGTAATATTAAAACTGCATGATTGCAAAGAATAGGGGGGAAAGTAGAAGAGGTGAACGGGGGCAAAACCCATCCGTTAATGTGCGCTGAGGCTATTCCTTGGTATACGTTTCTTCAAACTGGGTGCACATAAAAGCATTTGAAGAGGGTTTGCTATTATCTGTGGTTTTGTCTATCCAAGCATTGCAAAAATGTGTCCTTTCTAAGCATTTGCTAGATCCTCCTTCATGACTCTGTGGTTTTCTTGGGCTGGAAGGGTTTCATTTTGAGAAGGGTGGGTAAATGAAGCCACCGCAATTCCATTTATCCCCCAAACTGGGACTGTGTTTCCTGCAGATACCTGATCCTAGTGCATAGGCCACTTGCAAAGGGACCTTCAGGCCATAGAGGCAAATAATGACTGCCATGGCTTGAGGTTATTTACCCACCAGTCTCTTCCCGGATTCTCCTTTCTCCCTCTTTGCAGACAGTCCCTCTGCTCCAGTCAATGTCTCAGTCAAGCTCTTGAATGCCAACTCCGCCATCGTGACCTGGGATGTCCTGGAAGAGGAAGTGGTCATTGGGTTCGCCATCTCCCAGCAGGTAAGGCCTCTAGTCCAGGTTTATCTTCTTGCCTACCTCTTCTTTAACAACATTAACAACTTTAGATATGCAGATGACACCACTTTGATGGCTGAAAGGGAGGAGGAGCTGAGGAGCCTTCTAATCAAGGTGAAAGAAGAAAGCGCAAAAGCTGGGTTGCAGCTAAACATCAAAAAAACCAAGATTATGGCAACAAGAATGATTGACAACTGGGAAATAGGGGGAGAAAACATGGAGGCAGTGACAGACTTTGTATTTCTAGGTGCAAAGATTACTGCAGATGCAGACTGCAGCCAGGAAATCAGGAGAAGCTTACTTCTTGGGAGGAGAGCAATAACCAATCTTGAGAAAATAGTGAAGAGTAGAGACATCACACTGGCAATGAAGATCCGCATAGTTAAAACAATGGTATTCCCCGTAGTGACCTATGGATGTGAGAGTTGGATTATAGGGAAGGCTGAGCGAAGGATGATAGATGCTTTTGAACTGTGGTGTTGGAGGAAAGTGCTGAGAGTGCCTTGGACAGTGAGAAGATCCAACCAGTCCATACTTCAAGAAATAAAGTCTGACTGCTCATTGGAGGGAAGGATATTAGAGGCAAAGATGAAGTACTTTGGCCACATTATGTGAAGAAAGGAAAGCTTAGAGAAGACAATGATGCTGGGGAAAAAGGAAGGAAAAAAGAAGAGGGAGCGACCAAAGGCAAGATGGATGGATGGTATCCTTGAAATGACTGGGTTGACCTTGAAGGAGCTGGGGGTGGTGACGACCAACAGGGGGCTCTGGCATGGGCTGGTCCATGAAGTCATGAAGAGTCGAAAACGACTGAACAACCTCTTCCTCCTCCTCCTCCATCAGCCAACATTTCCAGGAGGAAATATGTGTGAATTTCAGTGTTGGAGAGCCCCTAAATCCCCCTCTCCAGAAGACAAAAAGAGACAGGGAATCCATCTATACTGTTGAGTGAATGTAGTTTGACACCACTTTCATCACACGCCGCTATGCAATCTGAAAGTTGTAGTTTGGTGAGGTATTGGGGTGTATCTACACTGCAGAAGTAATGCAGTTTGGCATTACTTGAACTGCCTTAGCCCAGTGCTATAGAATCTTAGAAGTTGGAGTTTGCTGGAGCACCAGCACTTTTGGGCAGAGAAAGACCTTGACAAACTACAACTCCCAGGATTCCCTGGCATCAAGCCAAGGCAATTAAAGTGGAGTCAAACTACAATGTCTTTGGTAGTGTTGAGGGTGATGACATTTTTTGATATTCCACTTTTTTTCTCTTTGATTGAGATGCAAAGTGGCTCACGAGATAACAATATGTAACAAAATTTGAAAAAAACTTCTGTTCCTGGTTTGAAAGTGTTATTTTCTGTTTCATTATGTAGTCTTTACTTCGAAAGTCATTGCTATGCACCAGAAATTTTGTTTTTGTGGCTGCCATAAACAATGTTGAATTACTGGGTTGTTGTGAGTTTTCCGGGCTGTATGGCCATGTTCCAGAAGCATTTTCTCCTTTCCAATTTCCATGTTTCTGTGAACCTTCGTCAATACATTGAATGTCTCTACGGGGAGAAAATGTTCCAAGACACACGGGAATTGTAAAGGAAAGAATGCTTCTGGAACATGGCCACACAGCCCGGAAAACTCACAACAACCCAATGATTCCGGGCCATGAAAGCCTTCAACAATACGATGTTGAATTGATTGAGACTCAGTGAGATGTTCATTGAAAAACTATAGCAAAATGTTCTGCTGTAGGATGTCCCACAGAAACAAAGGTTTTGCAGTTTAATAAACTTTTTCTATGTTTTTATGATAGAACCAATTAGGAAATGACATTTATAACCCTGGAAAAAATAAGTGATACATGTTGGCTCCATGTCTGGCTCTTGTCTCCTGGCAGAAAAAGGACGTGCGGATGCTGCGCTTCATCCAGGAGGTGAACACCACCACGCGCTCGTGCTCCCTCTGGGACCTGGAGGAGGACACCGAGTATATCGTCCACGTCCAGTCCATCAGCATCCAGGGCCAGAGCCCAGCAAGCGAGCCCTTCATCTTCAAGACACCCCGCGAAGCTGAGAAGCTGGCCTCCAAAAATAAAGGCAAGCCAAATGGGCAGGCGAACGGTCCTCTTTTCTCTAGTCTTTGGGGCAAAGAGGAGAAATCTCAGGGCAAGAGCATTGCCATGCATCGGGTATCTTGTATGTTTGTGGAGACTTCTTTGGAGGTGTCATGAATACTTTTTGAATCTTAAAAATGTTTTGTAGTCTATTTTCAGTGGTATAGAGTACATCAGGCACTTTCCTCCCTTTCTCCTTTCCTCCCTTCATTCTTTCCTTTCTTCTTTCCTCCCTCCCTCCCTCCCTTTTCCTCCCTTCCTTCCTTCTTTTCTCTCCCTCCTTCCTTCCTTCCTTCCTTCCTTCCTTCCTTCCTTCCTTCCTTCCTTCCATTTCCTCCTTCCTTCCTTCCTTCCTTCCTTCCTTCCTTCCTTCCTTCCTTCCTTCCTTCCTGTCACACAGACCAAGTACTGGTTTTATAAATAGCTGTATTGACTACACAAACAAAGGAGTAACATCATGCTTACTCTAGCATTCACTCCCATACATTCATCATTCATACTTACCATCCCTTCTCGTTCAGGCCTAATGTTGTTGGGAGAAGAGAGGAGGGTGGACAGATGCCGTTCTTGCAGATCTGCCACACAGTCTAAAAGGAAAAGGGTCTCCTTATGTAGCAATGTTTGATTATCCATTACTTGGTTGTTTAGAGAACCTCTGTCATTCAGCTCAGATCTGCTGTAGCCTCATCAATTCCAAAGAGATACGTTGTTTAACTTCCTTAACTTAAAGAGTTATTGCCTTTGACTTTGTAAACATAGGTTTTTTGCACTCCAAAGTTTCTCAGTTCAGCACTTTTCTCATTAGCACTTTTTGTGCCACAGTTCATTAAATTCTTTGCCTCCTTTGTTCTCCATAATGCAGTTTTCCAGGTTCCATTTTTTAGGATGGTGTCTTTAGACTTGCCAGACTTTAATAGGCCCCTGCCAGACCACAAACATACAATCCATTCAATCCATTCATTACAGAGGGTTTTAAACAGAAGCTGGATGGCCATCTGTCAGGCGGTGCTTTGATTGTGCTCTTCCTGCCTGGCAGAGGGTTGGACTGGATGACCTTTCGAGGTCTCTTCCGACTCTAAGATTCTGTGATTCTGTTGGGTGAGTGGGCTTATTAACAAAGGACCCTCCTCATAAATGTACAGCAGAGTAACTTATCAGCAGCAGTGTGACAAAAACACACAGACCAATGTTACCTCTTCCAAAGGAAGCTTTTATTTATAGCAAAATAATATGGTTGCACTATTTACAAGAACAAAGTTTCCATAATGTGTCCAGATGAGGGCGACTAAAATGATCAAGGGTCTGGAGAACAAGCCCTTTGAAGAGCGGCTTAAAGAGCTGGGCATGTTTAGCCTGAAGAAGAGAAGACTGAGAGGAGATATGATAGCCATGTATAAATATGCGAGAAGAAGTCGCAGGAAGGAGGGAGCAAGCTTGTTTTCTGCTTCCCTGGAGACTAGGACACAGAACAATGGCTTCAAACTACAAGAGAGGAGATTCCATCTGAACATGAGGAAGAACTTCCTGACGGTGAGAGCCGTTCAGCAGTGGAACTCCCTGCCTCGGAGTGTGGTGGAGGCTCCTTCTTTGGAAGCTTTTAAACAGAGGCTGGATGGCCATCTGTCAGGGGTGCTTTGAATGCAATATTCCTGCTTCTTGGCAGGCGGTTGGACTGGATGGCCCATCTTCCAACTCTAGGGTTCTATGATTCTATGATTCTATAACATAAATTAAGTTCTTTACACTTCCTTCTTTGCTTCCACGCTGGGCTTCTTTCTCATGCAGATAAGCAGCTTTGCTCTCACAGAGCCTTTTCTCACACTGAAGCTACACAGGAACTTCACAGAGGAGCTTTTTACACACAACAGCCTTCAACCTGAGGCTTCTCTCACCAAAGCTTCTCACGCCAGGTCTACTCACACTGAGGCCTACTAACACTAAAGGCTCTCTCAGACTGAGGTGAGCTAACACTGAGGCCTACTCATACTGGAGCCCACTAACACACTGAAGGCCTTCTCCCACAGAGACTTCTCACAGACTGAGGGCTACTAAGCTACAGGCACATCTACTTACATTGAATTGCAGCTTTTGCTGTCATTGCATCCATTTAACCCTTTCAGTGCTTGACTCACATTTTAGTAATTAAAAATACCTAATTAATTTTTAATATTTCTGACAGATTCTATGTCTAAATTAACCCATGCCCCCCCCCCCCAAAAAAAAAACCATTAACCAAGCAATCAGTTTCTGGTTGCTTGAGAGTTACTATGCAAAATAGAACTAACACTATACCCCATCCTATGCCATACTATAAACTCTATATTGATAGCCATTACTAGCATAAATAAAGACAACTTAATATCACATAGTCTGACTGTATTATAAAAACAGCCATGTGAATGCAATGTGCTTTTTTAGTTAAATGGCAGTTTAAAATGATTTTGTTTAAATGTTTATTTAAAGTATGGTTCCTCTGATGTCTTTGTCCAGTTGCCCGAGTTCTGACTAACTAAGAGTCTTCTATATTTGCAAATATGTCCATAATCAGAGATCTGGGAGATGGCACCCAGGTTGAAACACAATAATTCATTTTTGCTCCTTGCATACCTTATAAGCATAACCTGAAGGTAATTCTATGCGGTATGTTTAGTAATGTTGTGCATGAAACCAGATGTGCGTCCATGGAATTGTCAGAAAACAAAGGCTAAGTCACTCAGATTGGGATTTTGGAGGATTTCAGGATTTCAGATAAGAGATGCTCAAATGTGTATTAATACAAATATTTTGCTGTCGAATTATATAGGAAGGCAAGATTTGGAAAAGTTGCTTCTTTGGGAAACGGCTCTCAGAGACCCGCAGCCATCTAATATAGCAGCATTTCTCAACCTAGGGATCGGGACGCCTGGGGAGGTCGTGAGGGGATCGCCAAAGACCATCAGAAAACACAGCATTTTCTATTGGTCATGGGGTTCTGTGTGGGAAAATTGCCCAATTCTATCATTGGTAGGGTTCTGAATGCTCTTTGTATTTTATGTTGGTCTTGGGGGTTTTGTGGGAAGTTTGGCCTAATTCTATAGTTGGTGAGTTCAAGGGGCTCTTTGATTGTAGGTGAACTATAAATCCCAGCAACTACAACTCTCAAATGTCAAGGTCTATTTCCCCCAAACTCCACCAGTGTTCACATGTGGGCATATTGAGTATTTGTGCCAAGTTTGGACCAGGTCTATCATTGTTTGAGTCCACAGTGCTTTCTGGATGTAGGTGAACTACAACTCCAAAACTCAAGGTCCATGCCCACCAAAGCCTTCCAAGTATTTTTTTGTTGGTCATGGGGAGTTCTGTGTGACAAGTATGGTTCAGTTCCATCACTGGTGAAGTTCCAATGCTCTTTGATTGTCGGTGAACTATAACTCCCAACAAGTACAACTCTCAAATGACAAAATCAATCCCCACAACTCATGAGTATTCAAATTTGGGCGTATTGGGTATTTGTGCCAAATTTGGTCCAGTGAATGAAAATACATCCTGCATATCAGATATTTGCATTACAATTCATAACAGTAGCAAAATTACAGTTATGAAGTAGCAATTAAAATAATCTTATGGTTGGGGGTCACGACAACATGAGGAACTGTATTAAGGGGTCATGGCATTAGGAAAATTGAGAAACACTGCAATAGAACTTATTTTCCCTTTCTTTCTTTCTTTCTTTCTTTCTTTCTTTCTTTCTTTCTTTCTTTCTTTCTCACAGACGAGGTGACGATGAAGGAGATGGGAGAGAAAAACCAGCAGCTGCGAGCGGGAGAGGTCCTCATCATCGTTGTGGTCCTATTCATGTGGGCAGGTCAGTTTGACTCCCATTTCCATTTCGATGGCACTCATGAGCTGGTCTGCTCAAGACAAAGAAATGACTCCCTTGCTAGAAAGAAATGAACAGAATCTTTTAATAGACCCAAATGCTGCCTGAGTCTTTTTTTGCCCATTCAGGCACCTGCCAAATAATGCCCAGCAAAGAAGAAGGCTTTGCTTTGGGAGAGTGAATCTTGCAATACTAGCCGTCCTCTGCCACACGTTGCTGTGGTCCAGTCTGGTGATCTGGAAAATAATGAGAAAGTGTTGGTTTCTAATATATGTAATTTCTTTATGCTTGTGGATAAACAGTAATTTTTGTTGTTTCTTTGTCAGTGTTGATGTAGAGATTGTCTGGTTTGCCTACTCTGGAACATGCAACATATAATTCTCCTTCTTTAGGGGTCCCTTTCAAATCTATCATACTATCTGTCATATACATATATGTGTATTAATCATATCTATCTGTATCTATGGCTGGGTGGCTCTTTATCAGGAGTGCTTTGATTATGTTTTCTTGCCCTGGTGAAGGGAGTTAGACTGGATGGCCTTAAGGCAGCATTTGTCAACCTGGGGGTCGTGAGGGGTGTCAGAATGGTCACCGAAGACCACCAGAAAACAAAGTATTTTCTGTTGGTCATGGGGTTCTGTGTGGGAAGTTTGGCCCAATTCTATTGTTGGTGGGGTTCAGAATGCTCTTTGATTGTAGGTGAACTATAAATCCCAGTAACTACAACACTCAAATGTCAAGATCTATTTCCCCCAAACTCCATCTGTGTGCATATTTGGGCATATTGAGTATCCATTCCATGTTTGGTCCAGATCCATCATCGTTTGCATCCACAGTGCTCTCTGGATGTAGGTGAACTACAACTCCAAAACTCAAGGCCAATGCCCACCAAAACCTTCTAGTGTTTTCTGTTGGTCATGGGAGCCCTGTGTGACACGTTTGGTTCGATTCCATTGTTGGTTGGAGTTCAGAATATTCTTTATTGTAGGTGAACTATAAATCCCAGCAACTACAACTCCCAAATGACAAAATAAATGTTTTTGAGTGATGGTCACTCCTTGCATTAGTAGGTGTCTTGTGGCAATTGGTCCAGCGGTTTTTGAGTTATGATGTCACTCAAAACGAACAAAGCATTAGATTCTAAAACTCATCAACTTAAAACAATGTTTGGGGGGCAATTGGAATTTTTTTGTGCGTGTCAGGAGCCACTTGAGAAATTGCAAGTCGCTTCTGGTGTGAGAGAATTGGCCGTCTGCAAGGACGTTGCCCAGGGGGCATCTGGATGTTTTGATGTTTTACCATCCTTGTGGGAGGCTTCTCTTATGTCACTGGCATGGGAAGCTGGAGCTGACAGAGGGAGCTCATCCACAGTCTCCCCAGATTCAAACCTCTGACCTGTTGGTCTTCAGTCCTGTTGGCACCCGGGGGGCTCTGTTGGGGTGCACCTTCACTGCAAAATGAATGCAGTTTGGCACCACTTTAATTGCTATGGCTCAATGCTACCGTGGCATTTTGTTTGCTTTCTGCTTTTCCGTCCCCGGCTCCATTTAACGGCTGCTTTGGCTCCTTCCAAAACATGAAACATTTATGAAGGCAGAAGAGAAGCATCATGAAGGCCTTCGTCTGCTTTCGCTGGAGGGAGAGAAAGCGAGGGATGGCTCCGGGAAGAAGAAAAAGGGAGGCATTCCGGGTGAAATCATGTCGGCTAGCATCGCTTGCAAAAGGCGGCTTTCTCTGGGGAGGTTTGCAGCATTTAGGCACATCACAGAGGAAGGCCAGAGAGAGCCATCCGAATTAATGGGAGCAAAACCAATGCATTTAATGAACTGTGTAGTTAGAATTGGAAGAGAGCTGCCCAATTGGGTGCCAAAGAGCCCTCCCAAAGTGAGTGGTTTTTTTAAACAAAACTGTAAGTTTTAATGGAGTTTTTTGCAAAATAGAACAGTAGACATTGGGTTGTTGTAGGCTTTTCGGACTGTATGGCCATGTTCCAGAAGCATTCTCTCCTGACGTTTCGCCTGCATCTATAGCAGGCATCCTCAGGTTTTGAAATCTGACCTCATAACCTCTGAGGATGCCTGTCATAGATGCAGGCGAAATGTCAGGAGAGAATGCTTCTGGAACACGGCCATATCGCTCGGAAAACTCACAGCAACGCAGAAGAAGATATTATTGTTTTTGTTGTTACAGGCCTTTCTGTAACAACAAAAAACCAGTTTTCCCGACAGTCCTCACAACCTCTGAGGATGCTTGCCATAGATGCAGGCGAAACGTCAGGATAGAATGCTCCTAGAACATGGCCATACAGCCCGAAAAACCTACAACAACCCAGTGATTCCAGCTATGAAAGCCTTCAACAATACAGCAAACATTCTTTTATATTGGTCATCCTTTGGATATCATGAAAAAGTGATACTGCTGGGGTGGGTCTACACCAACTATACGATGCAGGTTCAAACTGCATTATATGGCAGCGTCAATCCAACCCGTCTCCCAAAATATTTGGGATTTTGTCCCATAACCTCCCCCCCCCCATTTGGTAAAAATGGTAAAATGCTATACTGTAGAATTTATGCACATTTGACACATCTATAACTGCCAAAAGAATCCTGGGATTTGTAGTTTGGCGAGGCCCTAGCAGAGAAGGGTAAAGACCTTGTAAAGCTATGGCTCCCATCATTTCATTGCATTGGGCCGTGGGAGTTAAAGTGGAGTAAAGGTGCATTCATTCTGCAGTGGAGATGCGCCCAGAAGGCCGAAAACCTTATAAATCTACAACTCCATAGCATTGAGATATGACAATTAAAGTGGTGTCAAATTACACCAGTTCTGCAATCTAGATGCAGTCCTAGTTTTCATCTGTGAAACGGTGGAAGGAGTGCAAATCCACTGGTGCTGATAGAAATGCCACTTCTCCCCCACGGATTTGAAGGCAGTGCTCATCCCTTGTGCCACTGTCTCCTCTGCCTGAACACTTGTCATTTTGTATTTGCCCAACCTGTGCAGAGAAGGGCTGCCTATTCGAGCACAAAGTCGGCTGGTTTGCAGGGAAAACAGACTGTTGTCACTTTGCTTTTGCCACCAAATCGCAGGCTCAGTCCCTCCGAGACAAAGGCAATTCCATCACTTTGCCCTTTCTTTTCTTTTCCTTTCCTTTCCTCTTTTCCTTTCCTTCCCTTTCTTTTCCTCTCCTCTCCTGTCTTTTCCTTTCCTTTCTTTTCCTCTTTGTTTTCCTTTCCTTTCTTCTCCCTTCCTTTCCTTTCCTTTCTTTTCCTCTACTCTCTTTTCCTTTTCTTTTCTCTTTTTCTTTTCTTTTCCATTCCTCTGCTCTCCTTTCCTTTCCTTTCTTTTCTTTCTTTTCTTTTCCTCTCCTGTCTTTTCCTTTCCTTTCCTCTCTTTTCCTCTACTCCCTTTTCCTTTTCTTTCCTCTTTGTTTTCCTTTCTTCTCTTTTCCTTTCTTCCCTTTTCCTTTCTTTTCTTTTCCTCTACTCTCTTTTCCTTTTCTTTCCTCTTTTTCTTTTCTTTTCCATTCCTCTCCTCGTCTTTCCTTTCCTTTCTTTTTCCTTTCTTTTTCTTTCTTTTCTTTTCCTCTCCTGTCTTTTCCTTTCCTTTCCTCTCCATTCTTTTCCTCTACTCTCTTTTCCTTTTCTTTCCTCTTTATTTTCCTTTCTTCTATTTTCCTTTCCTTTATTTTCCTCTACTCTTTTTCCTTTTCTTTTCTCTTTTTCTTTTCTTTTCCATTCCTCTGCTCTCCTTTCCTTTCCTTTCTTTTCTTTCTTTTCTTTTCCTCTCCTGTCTTGTCCTTTCCTTTCCTCTCCTTTATTTTCCTCTACTTCCTTTTCCTCTTTTTCTTTTATTTTCCATTCTTTACTTTTCCTCTCTTCTCCTTTCTTTTCCTCTTCTCTCTTTTCCTTTCTTTTCATTTCCTTTCCTCTCATCTCTTGACCTGTCTTTTCCTCTCCTGTGTGTTTTGCTGGGCAAATATCTGCATTTTCCTTGCAAGAAGGTGCAGTGTTGCCTCTGGGCTTTCGGCACAAGATCACAAATGACTTTGGGCTTTCTTTAAAGCAGCACTAAATAACCCCTGCAGCAAAACACGTCTTATTTGGAGCACTCCTTATCTCCAGATTTTTAGTTATTCATACAGAGCTGTGAGATTGGGGTGGGCAACCATGGCAGATCCAGGGGATTGTTGTGTGCCCTTTGGGATAACAATGATGATGATGATGATGATCATAATCCTAGTTTAATATTTTTTTTATGTTTGGATTGCATAATATTTAAAGTAGTGAGCTGCTTGGGTTCTCAATCCTGAGAAATAAGTGGAATACAATCATCATCATCATCATCATCATCATTATCATCATCATCATCCCACAGTCCCAAGCCTCATTCTGCCATGGTTGTTGTTATTGTTATTAGACTGGACATTAAGTCCAGTCGTGTTCGACTCTGGGGGTTGGTGCTCATCTCCATTTCTAAGCCAAAGAACCAGCGTTGTTCATAGACACCTCCAAGGTCATGTGGCTGGCATGACTGCATAGAACACCGTTACCTTCCCACCAGAGCAGTACCTAATGATCTACTCACATTTGCATGTTTTCAAACTGCTAGGTTGGCAGAAGCTGGGGCTAGCAGCGGGAGCTCATGGCGCTCCCTGGAGTCAAACCTGCAACAAGTTCAGCGGCTCAGCTGTTTAACCTACTGCACCATCTTTTCTATGCTTTAATTGTGTATTTTTTTAAGTTGTTGGCCATTTTGCATATCAATCCTGAGAAAAAAGTGGGGTACAAGCAATAATAATAATAATCCCAGCATTAGCTCTTCCATTATTTTCATTGTCGTCATCATCATCTTCATCCCACAATCCCAGCCTCATTTTGCCAGGGTTGTTGTTATTGTTATCATCCTTTATATGCTTTAATTGCATCAGTGTTAAAGTTGTGTGCAATTTTGCATCTCAGTTCTGAGAAAAAAGTGGGGTATAAATCATCCTCATCCTCATCATCATCATCATCACAATCCAAAAGCTAACTCTGCTAAAATTATCATCATCATCATCATCACCCTCACGATCATCCTACAGCTCCAAGCCTCGCTGTGGCTTTGATTCAGGCTAAGCACCAATAGTCTTCCTGGTGTTGGCCCCTTTAGCCCAAACCCTCTTGACTGCAGCTGAAGCAGGTTGAGCATTGACATTTCCCTCTTCTTTACGACAGGGGTGATTGCGCTCTTCTGCCGGCAGTACGACATCATCAAGGACAACGAACCCAACAACAACAAGGAGAAGGCCAAGAACACCTCTGAGAACAGCACCCCCGAGCACCAGAGTGGGGGGCTCCTGCGCAGCAAAGTAGGTGACATTGGGGAAAATTGTGAGTCACAGACCACCACCCAACCACCCACGATGATTAATAATTGTGGAATACACAATAACTCATTATTAATTGTACTGCCTTTTGCAGGAGTCCAAGCTGGGCTTGGACTACATCTCCTATGGATTGACTGCCTCCCCCCGCCCCCAAATTATAATTTCTCCTCTAAATTTTGCTTTGTGATCATTGGCCATTCCTACTAGCTGTTATGAATGATTTTTTTATTATACCAGCCATAGCAGTACATAATATACAACCTTTAAAAGTACAATAAGCACTTTCCAATATAAACATTAAAACTTATTCCATATACTAGCTCTTTAAAATTATAGTAGCAGTGACATGAGAACAATCACAAATGCCTGATTTGTATCATCCCAAACTATCTCCATTTCCATTTCTAGCCTCTGTTGTGGACTTTACTAATTTAGCTCGGATTTTTTGGGCTGCGATTGAAAATCTGGCAATCTTTAATGTTATATTTTCGGAATAATCTGCTGACAAGGTACAGATAACTGCCGACTGTTGCCATGCTGCCCTTTCTTCCAAAAGGGCTCCCAGAAGATTGTTTCTAGGGTCATTATACAAAGGGCAATGTACCAGATAGTGTATTATTTATTTATTTATTTATTTATTACTGTGCTTATATACCGCCGTTTCTCAGCCTAAATCGGCGACTCA